GCCAGGTGTGGATCTCCTTTGACGTGCTGTGCTGCACTGCCAGCATCTGGAACGTCACGGCCATCGCCCTCGACCGTTACTGGTCCATCACCCGCCACCTGGAGTACACGCTCCGCATCCGGCGCCGCATCTCCAACATCATGATTGCCCTCACCTGGGTACTCTCTGCCTTTATCTCCTTGGCCCCGCTGCTCTTTGGCTGGGGAGAGACTTACTCAGAGGACAGTGAGGAGTGCCAAGTCAGCCAGGAGCCTTCCTACACCATCTTCTCCACCTTTGGCGCCTTCTACCTGCCCCTCTGCGTGGTGCTTTTTGTGTACTGGAAGATCTACAAGGCTGCCAAGTTTCGAATTGGATCACGGAAGAGCAACTCCATCACTCCCATTACACCAGAAGCCCTGGAGGTAGGTCAGCTGGGTCGTATTCTGTTCTAGTCAACCGCTGGTAGCAACCAAACCCTTGCAGCAGTGGGGTAGACTTAGAGCTAAAGCGTGCAAGCAAACAGCATCCCACTAAAGCCCAGTGAAATGCTGGAGGCTTTCAAGGGAAAGTTGACTGAGAAGCTTGCAAGCAAGGAGTCTTTTGACTCCTTCCAAGTCCCCAGCTGTGAGCAGGCAAGGTGTAGCTAAAGCAACTTTGGGCCAGATTGCAAGCCTGAGCTCCACGTGGGCGTGTGGTGACTCACAGACGTCCCCCCGTGGAATGCTGAATCAGTGCTCACAAGCGTGAGTAAGGGGTCACCGTTCCTTCCGTGGGGAGGCGTGTGGGGGTGTGAATGGATGGGATCCCGTCTCCACTGTGGACAATAACCTGGCAAGCAGCTTTGGGGCTTTGGGGAGGTTTTTCCAAAAGGAGGTTTCCTCCGTTTGGGGAGGATTTACCCGCACAGAAGACCCACGTGCAAAGCATCCTTGTAAATCCTTCCTAATCGTGGCTGCATCGTGTCGGTCCACCCCAGGCACGGTGACTCTGCACTGTAAAGACTTCTTCAGAGGAGGAAGGAAATGTATGCTCATTTTCCTCTCTCTCCTACCTAGGACTCTTAAACTCAGTGGGTTCAGAGAAAGCAAGGAGACTTTTGTGCACGGCATGTGGGTGTTCTACTGATCTGATTGTAAATGGGGAAATGATCTTATTGCTATGCTGTGTCAGCAATTCCATGCGCCCATATATATCATTACTTTTTAGTTTCTAGTCTCACTTAAAAATAGTCTGTTACCCAGAAGAGGGTCATACAACCAATCGCCTCTCCATTAGAGCGTGACGTAGATGGCCCGTGTTTCCCCATGAGCTCTGGCCATCACTTGCGTAGTTTGGTTGTGGACCTGCTGTGTGGGATCAGCTGACTGAGGCACATATGGTGCAACTTGTGTTTGTGTTTGGCAGGTAAAAGAAGCTGCCCAGCAGCCACAGATGGTCTTCACTGTCCGTCATGCCACTGTTACGTTCCAGACAGATGGAGACACGTGGAGAGAGCAGAAGGAAAAGAAAGCTGCCCTCATGGTGGGCATCCTTATTGGGGTCTTTGTGCTCTGCTGGATCCCCTTCTTCATCACGGAGCTCATCAACCCCCTCTGCTCGTGTGACATCCCACCCATTTGGAAGAGTATTTTTCTATGGCTAGGCTATTCAAATTCCTTTTTTAATCCACTCATCTACACTGCTTTCAACAAAAACTACAACAATGCCTTCAGGAACCTATTCTTTAGACAGCACTGAGCAGAAGAAGCTTTCCTGCTGCCCCAGGAAGCTGATTTCAACTCCCAACGAATCTTACCAAACTCTTGAGAAAGTTCAAAGCCACAGATACTGAGGTGATGCTAAAGACACATCCCCATGGGTCGTATACCCCAGCCACGGCCCCGGTTCCTACGCAGAGTCTCCATCCCAGCCTCTACGTCAGTTGCTGTTCTTCCTGCGAACAGCGTGGAAGGGCTTCTCTGGCCAGCAGCACAGCGTTTTTCCTCGGTGCCCCGCTGCTTTCCTCCCGCCTTCCTAGTGGCATTCGCCTTGGTGGCAGTAACGGTGCAGAGGAGCCTTCTGGCAAAGAGTCGTATTTGAAACTGGTTTGGCCACTGCTGGTCTCTCACAGCACTAATCAACTTTGTCCCATGTGTAAGGCTGGGACCCTTCAATGTCAGGAGGGTTTGTGATTATATATGAAACTAGATATTTTATGGCTTGGTAGAAAAGGCTGTTTGTCCTGTCTTTCACCGGTAGAGATTGTTAAGTGTTTGTGTTTGGGGAATAAAACCCTCAGTAAGGGTTAAGAGCAGACTCCAAGTACTAAGCCTTTTCTTACATGTTTTATCAACAACGAATTACGTGATTTGCTATTGGATTCCGTGTAGCAACTTTTTAAAAAAATCATTTATTGTGAAAGCTTAATGCATGGTGTACCCTGGAATGAGAGAGAATGCATGGGAACTGCACCTCTCGTTCTGACTGCTGTGTGTGAGCTCAGATCTTTACTTTCAGAAATAGCAGCTGTAAATGTTAATCTTTGTGTCTGTGTTTTCCCTTCTAAACCATAAATGTATTTCGAGCAGCTGCGGGACAAGTTTCCTGTAGTTGCAGGGGATGTGAGGAGTATATTTTAAATAGCCTGTCAATGAGGAGCTGTCATTTACTGTTTCTGAGTGTGATTCAGGCTGTCTTGAAACCAAAACAAAGACCCCACTTCGTTTCTGTGAGCACTGAATTGCAGGTAAAGGGCAGTTAATGACCGGTGATGTTTCATTCTGGAAGCATAACCGAGCTATAGAAGTGCTCTTCTAAGCACCAGACTTAAATATTTCTTCTTTTGCCCACCCGTCCTTCTCTCCTTCTCCCTAAGGCTCCAATCCTGCCTGGTCGTTACTGCTCTGTTGCCTCCCTGCCTTTCCATGTTGCCAACATAATAACAGTAGTTGGCATTTCACTCCTAGAATTAGAATTATGCACTTCATACTGCACCGCTGGAAGACTGACAGGCCTTCAGATAAAGAAAAGCATTCGTTTTAACTACTGGTTGTTATGGGGCAGCCACTGAAAATAGACCAGAACTGAAATGGTGGAGAAAAAGACAAGATGGGAATCGGAACAACATGATTTCATGTCATATCTCAAGAAGAAGAGATAAAAGGGAAAAATATCAATAAATCATGGGAAAGCTCCCTGGGGAGTGAGTAGGATTAGTTCCTATCCTGAGTAGATTGTAGGACATCAGATGTTAAAACTGTCACTGGTCCTTTAAACCTGTCAAAAATCCTCATAGAGTTGGTTAAAAAGTCCTTTTTCTTTTCATATCTTGGGACAGGTGAAAATGGAAGCAGAGCTCAAGGTACTATCAAATGTTGCAGCTCCTTCAGGACCAGTTAGACAAACATCCATCAGGACTGACACAGATGTAGCTGATCCTGCCTTGTGGCAAGAGGAGAGATAGGATGGCCTTTGAGATCTTTTTCAACACTATTTTATAAAACTCTGTTAGACATATTAGGTAAAATCCTGGCCTCATTGAAAGCAATGGACAAATTCTCAGTGACTTCAAGAAAATCAGAATTTTATCCAGCATGTCTTGTCTTGTAACAGCATAGTTTTAATGTTAATTAATTCAAGGAGAAGATGGGTGAGATGGGAGCAATCTCCTAACTCCCCTGAAAGAGTCTCTGATCTGTGCGAACCGTGGACCAATCTCTACAGCAAGTAAAGAGCATCTTCTTTCTTTGTTACATATTTTAAAGTATTATTAGTGACATCTCTGATATATCGAAAATTATAATAAACCCTTGAGCTGCTTTTTTTACTGAGGATATAAAGGTTGCATTGCTTTCTCTGGACCAATGCAGAGCTATTCTTTTTGGGAACTTGCTACTTTTGTTGTGTCAAAGGTTGTTTAGCCAAAATGAGTTGGAAAAAATGCTTCCTTGCCCAAGCAAGACCTTCAGCTAAGCTTGGTAGTGCCTGAAAGTAGAAGACTACTTTTTAAGCCACCATGGCAACACTTTAAACACTAAGGCATGGATTAACTGGGAAGTTGGACTTTAATCCACCATTTTAATGCATAACATCATGTCTACACAACTCTGTTTCAGTCCATGCCGTGTTCATCCCCATTTTTGTTTGCTCTTTGATGAGTATTGCAGGTTCTCTGTTTGTGTTGTGCGGGGTCTTTGCACAGGTTGTAGAATCAACTGTAAACTCAAATTAGTATCCTGTGTAAGGAGACAAAAATTAAACCGAAATCAGTGGGAAAGATCCCTACTTTTGCTGCAGGTTGGTGCTGGGATGAAGGTTCCTTTCCTTATATCCTGTGTTTGTTCATTCTATGCCTTAAGCAGTGACAAGGAGACAGGAGAGAATCTTAAAATGACACTAAATTCTAATTTGTCTACGGTCATGGGTAGTCCACCATCCTGGTGCAAATTACATCCACATTTATTTGACAACCCACATCCCATGCAATCCCTTTTGATCTTCTGCAAATAACAGCTTCCACTTGGTTATAAGTTTTGTTCCTTTGAATGTTGACATAATTAGCAGCTACATTATGGACCAGTTCCTACTGCTCTTACTTAAGACCATTGACTTTTCATCTAAATACCATTCCTGCAATGTAATATGGTCATGCAAGAAAAATACCAGTGTTCTGGAGATTGTGTTGAAGAATCTGATCAAAACATGCCGTGGTGGTCCGAACACAGTGAAGGGGCACATAGAAACCTTGACTTCTGATCCTGGCTTCGAGGCTTTTTACAAACCTCTCAGTATTCAAACACAGATGCCAAGTGGGCTCTCGGAGACCCAAATCATGTTTGAAGACATACACAACCCCAGCTTCAAAGGATGTATCTTGTATCTTCTTGTTCCCATTTATAAAACAGAATCAGTGGTGTGAGGAGATCTGCCTCACCGAGGCTTTGTGAGGATTAATTAGTAAATGTTTATCATGTACCAGGAAGGTGGAATACTCTGGTTTGAAT